GGTGGACGAGAACGTTGGAATGGTTAGGCTTGGAACGGTATTTCAGAACCTCCGGCTTTTTAGAGGTGGCCCCGAAGTCCTTGGGAGGTGTCGAGTGCACACATCATAATGGATGGATGTGTATTGGATATCTCGAGGGTTCTGCTGGCTGACTGAGTCAATGAGTTTGTGCGACTATATTAAGACCGCGGTGTCAAGTTTTTAAGTAACACGGACTCCTGTGTCCAGCATTTATTATTCAGGCAGACTGCTTCTGGTAAAGCAGTGCTTTACAAAAAGCAGCAGTTAGATCATACTTAATGCACTGAGTGATTCACTTCAAAGTTTTTATGATGTTTCAAAATAAAAAAGTAAAATCTCAGTGTGTGTTTGTTTTTTCTTTCCTAGCTGGGCACAGTGGTAAATGCATGCAGTCCCAGCGATCAGGAAGCCAAGGCAGCAGGAGGAGCACAAGTTGGAGGCATCAGCCTCCGCAGTTTAGGCCTTAGCAACCTTTTGAAATAAATGGAAATGGGGTGGGGCACAGCTGAGTGTAGATGTGGTAAAGCAACTCTTAAATTCCCCCTTCCTTTTTTTTCCCCAACAAAGTTTTTTTTTCCAGTTCATAGAGAAAGGGGCATCCCATACTTAAATAGTAAAAGAAATTGATTTTTCCCCCCAGATAAGATTTGTGACCAAATCAGTGATGCTGTCCTTGATGCCCATCTTCAACAGGACCCTGATGCCAAAGTGGCTTGTGGTAGGTTCAGAACATGTGCTTTTGTTTATTGCCTGATTATAAAGGTAACATTGGGAGAACTAATTTATAAAAATGTTTTTTCTGTGTGAATCTCTCCTTTATTAGAAACTGTTGCTAAAACTGGGATGATTCTTCTTGCTGGAGAAATTACATCAAGAGCTGCCATTGACTACCAGAAAGTGGTTCGGGAAGCCATTAAGCACATTGGATATGATGATTCTTCCAAAGGTGTGTTTTCATTTTGCTTTTTTTCTAAGCTTATGTTTAGATATAATGGTTGAAACTGTCTTCTAGGAATGTTCCTAGTAATCCTTAACTCCGATTATGTAGATATGTAGTATGACGTTTTGGTATTATAGCCTCACCTTGCCGTGGAGGACAATGTTCTAAGACTAGCAGATGCTGAAACTGACGAATATTTTTTCCCCCCGTACATGCTTGGCTACAGTTTTGCCTAACATAAATGAGGTACATTAGATTTGCAAAAATAAGTTGGAAGTTAGTGTACAAGTTATAAATGTGATCTGACAAAATGTCTATTGTACCATAGATCTTAGCAATCCTGGCCATCTTTTCCCCTTCAGAACTTGCACCTGTTTGCTTTGAGGTACACTATAGGTTTTCTTGGCATATTCAAAGTATTAGCATTATTCTTATGCTTTGGGGCTATTAAGTAAAGTTTATTTGAACATAAAGCCACTGTTCGGCCAAGACCTTTCAATAGTTAAGTGATTTAGCAGTGGGTAGCATGTATTTGGATGATGATTAGTGTCCTGGGAAGGGAAGAGTTCATCACACTCTCGTGGCAATTTTTTTTTTTAGAAAAATCACAAATTTCTGGAATTTTCAATTTACAATTTTAAGGTAACAGAGTGAGTGGAAGGTGAAACCATGGCTAAGGAATTACTACTGTATCTGATTTCTTCAGCAGTAGCAGTATTTAGAATTCCAAGTAATTGTGAGTGGGTATTATGGCTTTTTGTTCTTAAAAGACATTTTTGTTTATAGGGTTTGACTATAAGACTTGTAATGTGCTGGTGGCCTTGGAGCAACAGTCACCAGATATTGCTCAAGGTGTTCATCTTGACCGAAATGAGGAAGACATTGGTGCAGGAGACCAGGTATTGTAAAAGGCTATTTATGTCTCTTCTAACATTAAATTAAGCTTTAATGTTACATCACTGGCTCTTTTTTTTTCAGGGCTTGATGTTTGGTTATGCCACCGATGAAACTGAGGAGTGTATGCCTTTAACCATTGTCTTAGCACATAAGCTAAATGCCAAACTGGCTGAACTACGCCGCAATGGCACTTTGCCTTGGTTACGCCCAGATTCAAAAACTCAAGTAAGTGATCTTAAAGCTATATTGCCTAAAATTACTTTGTAGAAAAATCCATGAATTTGAAGACTGCCAAGAATAATGTATTTTTGCTCATTGTAATTTTCTTTTTTTGATACTGGGGATCAAATTCAGGGGCATTCTGCCGCTGAGCCACATCCCAGCCTTGTTTGTATTTTATTTAGAGACAGGGTCTCACTGAGTTTACTTAGTGCCTCACTATTGCTGAGGCTAGCTTTAAACTCAGTCCTTGGCCTCAGCCTCCTGAGCCATTGAGATTAGACATATACCACCATGCCCAGCACTGTATTGTAACTTGATAGAGAACCAAGTACAAAACTGATGGTGTTCTGATAATCTGTGTTGACTTCAAGGTGACTGTGCAGTATATGCAAGATCGAGGTGCTGTGCTTCCCATCAGAGTCCATACAATCGTTATATCTGTTCAGCATGATGAAGAAGTTTGTCTTGATGAGATGAGGGATGCCCTGAAAGAGAAGGTCATCAAAGCTGTTGTACCTCCAAAATATCTTGATGAGGATACCATCTACCATCTGCAGCCAAGTGGCAGATTTGTTATTGGTGGGCCTCAGGTAAATGTCAGTTCAGCATACTCTTTACTATTTTGAGTCTTTGGTTATTTGAAAAGTTTGAGTCACTATCACCTTTTAAGATTCTGGAATTTGCTTGTGAATCTTTAGTGGCATGGAATAGGCATTCTAATCTAGAACCACTTACTGGGAAGGATTAGGCATAAAGTGACTTAAATCCTGTAATTTCAGGGTGATGCTGGTTTGACTGGCCGGAAAATAATTGTGGATACCTATGGCGGTTGGGGAGCTCATGGAGGAGGTGCCTTTTCAGGAAAGGATTATACTAAGGTGGACCGCTCAGCTGCTTATGCTGCCCGTTGGGTGGCAAAATCCCTTGTTAAAGGAGGTCTGTGCAGGAGGGTTCTTGTTCAGGTATATATTCTTTTTATGTAATTGGAGTGGTAAACAGCCATATAAACGGGAGGGATATAACAGTAATAAGCTTCTTGCCCATTTTATACCAATGTATACAAGTATGCATTTGAATTACTGACTGTTAACATTTGAATCCTTTTAGGTCTCTTATGCTATTGGAGTTTCTCATCCGTTATCCATCTCCATTTTCCATTATGGTACCTCTCAGAAGACTGAGAGAGAGCTATTAGAGATTGTGAAGAAGAACTTTGATCTTCGCCCTGGGGTCATTGTCAGGTAAAGATGGTAAAGCCTATTGCTAGTGAAAAGTAGAGGGTGTGGGTATATGTGTGATGCATACTATCTAGATATGAGGAGGTAAAGGTAGACTCCTCAAATGGGGAAACATTTTAATTCCAGAACATGCTGATGTTTTAAAATTGCCTTCAGGGTGCATTTAATTGAGAAATACAAGTCACAGTGCTCTGTGGCTTATATTAATCACCCTAGAAAGTCTTTCACATTTAATATTGGGCTTTGTGCTCATCATACCTAAGGGTGTTTAAGAAATTAATACAGACAAGTGGGATGTTCAAGGTTCTACAAAGAAAAGAACCATAGTGGGCAGTGGGACCTTGGTAAGTATCCATGATCCTCAGATGAGCTTTTGACAATTGGAATTCCTCAGAATAATGACAAGTTTTCATATTTGTTGAGCCAGGGCCGGAAAAACAAGAACTGTAGTTACTAATAAGGACTGTACAAGGACTTTGGACACCAGGGAAGTAACAAACACTTTTGCCACAAACTTTTTTCCTAGCATACCCCAGAGAACTGAACTCATTTGCCAGAGCTCTTAAATGAGTCTTGCTGATTGTTTTGCTTTATTTTAATCCAATGCTACATATTAAGTTATGGACTTGTATATTCCAGGGATCTGGATCTGAAGAAGCCAATTTATCAGAGGACTGCAGCCTATGGCCACTTTGGTAGGGACAGCTTCCCATGGGAAGTGCCCAAAAAGCTTAAATACTGAAAGTGTTAGCCTTTTTTCCCCAGACTTGTTGGCGTAGGCTACAGAGAAGCCTTCAAGCTCTGAGGGAAAGGGCCCTTCTTGCTAAATTTTCTTGTCCTCTTTCAGCTCATCAGTTGCAGTCACTCTCTAGTCAATGACATGAATTTTAGCTTTTGTGGGGGACTGTAAGTTGGGCTTGCTATTCTGTCCCTAGAAGTTTTGTTCACCATTATAATGAATTTAGTGAGCATAGGTGATCCATGTAACTGCCTAGAAACAACACTTGTAGTGAATAATGCTTTGGAACTGAACCTTTGTGCCCTATCACCCAACCCTCCAAAGTCCTAAACACATTGACTTTCCTACCAAATGCTGAAAATATCCTTGTAATGTGCACGTAAAAGTACTTGTAGTTCCACTATAGCCTGTCTGGCAATGCCACAGCTCTCAGCATGAATTTGTAATGTCTTGAGCTCTATTATGAATGTGAATCCTTCCCTTATCCTCCCTGTAACTCGATCCATTTCTAATTATGTAGTTCTTTGTCAGGGAGTGTTCCCTACCCAATCTATCTTGCATGTAACGCAAGTTCCAGTCGGAGCTCCAGCCTGACATAAATCAAAAAGGCAGTTACCATTAAACCATCTCCCTGGTGCTTATGCTCTTAATTGCCACCTCTTTAATAGCACCAAATCAAAATTTCTCCATCTTTAGCTGTCTTTTGGAGGACGTACGTAATAAGGTTTTCATTTATTAAACCAATCCTATGCATGGTTTCAGCACTAGCCAAACCTCACCAACTCCTAGTCTAGAAAAACAGGCACTTGGCACCCTTGTGATGTCATACAGAGAAGTCACAGGGCAGTACCTGAGGGTCTGTAGGTTGCACACTTTGGTACCAGATAACTTTTTTTTTCTTTATAAGAAAGATGAGTACTCCACACTGCACAATAATTCCTCCCAGGGTTTTAACTTTGTTTTATTTTCAAAACCAGGTCCAATGAGCTTTCTGAACAGCTGGTGTAGCTACAGAGAAACCAGCTTCCTTCAGAGAGCAGTGCTTTTGGCGGGGAGGAGGAAATCCCTTCATACTTGAACATTTTCTAATTGCTTATTTATTGTATTCTGAGGTATGGTGTAAGTACAGAGAAGCCATCACCTCAGATGGCAGCTTTTAAAAGATTTTTTTTTTCCTCAACACCATGATTCCTTTAACAACATGTTTCCAGCATTCCCAGGTAGGCCAAGGTGTCCTACAGAAAAACCTTGGGTTAGACCTACAGGGGGTCTGGCTGGTGTTAAGCGAAGGGAGGGCAGAGCTGGTGCGGCTGACCGTGGAGAGAGCGGACTTGGCTGGCGTGGTACAGAGAAGCCAGCTTGTTTACATGCTACTCCATGACTGCTTGCCCGAAGCAGAAAGTGCCTTCCAGGGTCTATTTTTGGAGGTTTATTACGTATGTCTGGTTCTCAATTCCAACACTTTAATGAAGATCTAAATAAAATGCTAGGTTCTACCCTGTGTTACTGTTCTTTAATTGCTGTGGCTACAAATAACCTGAAAATTGTATACATACTTCTTGAGCAACTGGGAATCAACAGGTCTAGACTCCCCATCTGGTTTGTCCAATATTGCCTTCTAGACTGAAATATGTCCTTGTTGCAGCCACCCACTGTCATTTTTTTCCCCTCTCCCCATATTGGTGATGAACCCAGGACCTTGCAGTAGGCTTTCCAAAACCTAAAGTTGAGAACAAAATCCATATGCTGGGATCAGAAGAAGGATCAATCTAAAGCTGATTGGCTGAAAGGCCAATTCTCAGAACAATTAGACCTCATTTTTCTTGGGACATGGATAATTATAGTGAACACTTTATGCCATAGGTCAGGGAGGTGGTGGTATGCTGCCATGAAGGCAGCATCCTTGCCCATGTAGAGTACTTTAATTAGAAGTCTTCCAAAACATAAGGAAGATAGCTGAACTAAGGTATGAAGAATTAGAAACAACTGGTCAAAAAACACCCCCTCCCAACCCCCCTAACTCTTTAACCATTCAAGGAACCCTAAGTAAGACCAAGTGTTTCAATAGCTTGCATGACATTTTCTGCCTATCCTATAGGTCACAACCCACACAATAAAATGTCTTTCCTGGTCTCAATTGAATTTCAGTGGAAAAAATTGATGGGACTTGATATTAAAAAGCAGGCATATGCAATCCCAGCCACGCAGGAGAATCTCAACTTCAAGGTCAGCCTGGGCAACCTGTAAAAAGGGTACAGCTTACATAATTTGCTTAGCTCCAAGTGTGATTCCTGATAC